GTTATTGCTGTTGTCTTCTTCCGACCGAATGAGGTTGAAATCACCTTCCACCACTACCGGGAGCTGAGCAGCTGTTACCTTCCTCCTAAGCTCACCGAGGAAAGCCTTCGAACGGCGGTGGTCGGCCGGCCCATAGACCGCAATAATTTCCCATTTGAAGTTCAGTGCTCGCTTGAAGATCTCCATGCTCACGTAGAACTCGCCTTGATCCATGCTGCCTACCTCAAAGGTGGCATCCTTCACCCCTAGGAGGATGCCACCTGAGTGGCCCACGCTCCCACTAGAAGGGAGCCAGTGCCAAGCAAATAGGTCGGAGCTCAAGTGCTCGAGCTCCGACAGGGAAAATTCCGCACGCATGGTTTCTTGAATGGCCACAATGTCGATTCGCTCAATTCGTATGTATTCGATTAGTTGGCGGCAGCGGCCATCTTGACCAAATCCGCGGATGTTCCAGAAGAGGGTCCGCATCACTCATCCATCGAGGGGCTGCTTGACCCCAAGACACGAGAGGCACTCTGAGCGCGGAGGGCAGCGGTGCGAGAGCGAGTGCGGCCGGGATCTCAACTGGGGCGATCGTCAGGCGAGACGGAGGGTTCGGGGCCGTCCCCGAAGGGACGCCCGAAGAAGAGGAGGCGCGTGCACGAGCCTCGCCGAGGCGACCATCTAGGATTTCCCGTGCACGGATAGCCTCAATATGAACTAACGGGGGGGCTACCTCTCCCTGAAACACAATTGCCGAGTTAGCTGCCACCTTCGCGAGGTGGCCAAGCGGAGCCGACTCCAAGGCCGAAAAGGAACGAGTAGCTGTAGAGGCAGGAATGAGCGGTGTACCTGGCTCGAGGTTCCGGGCAGCGGCTCTGAGCTCTGCTTACTCGGGGATAGGCAGACCAGGGCTACCCATCGGCATGGCTGCCTCGATCCGAGCACTGCGGCGGGAGGAGGTCACCGGAGACGAGATCGACCTGGCCCGCCTGGAGTAGGCTGCGAACCGGGGGGGAGGAGGGGGCGGCCACCGGGGTGGTCACCACCACCTCAGCCCCACGGCGATGGAATCTAGGAGCGCCAGAGGCGGGCCAGGGTGCGTCGGGCAGAGAGGCCGCTCGGGGACCGGGGGAGCCGGAGGAGCTGGAGTCAGGTCAGCGTCGGACAGCTGGATCTCCGCCCCTGTCTGCGGCCTGGCTGCCGCAGGCGGCGGGGGGAGAGCAGCGCCATCTCCAGCACGGTATCACCATCTGCAAGGTCCGAGGGGGCGGGTCCAGGGCGGCCACAACCGCCCCCGGGGACTCCACCACAGGAGCGGGAGGCATGGGCGCGGCCGAGCTGGGCTGGTCCGGGACGGCCCCGGCGGAGAGGGTGGTGAAGACATCAAGAAGCGGACCGACGGGGGAGTGAGGCGATGAAGCGGGGAAGACCTGAAGGCTGGCGTCTGAAGCATCGAGGCCGTCGGCGGGGGCTAGCGGAGCGGCCGAGGAGTGGGCGCGTCCGGTCCCCCCGCCACTCCTAGCAGCCAGAGCGGGGGGCTGGTCGTGAGGAGGACTGTCCTCGGAGTCATCGTCGTCCTCCTCCGAACCGGAGCGGCGTCCATGAAGGGGGTCGCGGTCGCTGTGGTGATCCCCCGCACCATCCCCGTCTGGCCCTCCCCCCAAGATGCTGTCATCGGGGATACGGGGGCGGCCAACGTGGTTGGGCGGCTCGGGGGAGATGCGGAGGTCAAAACCCTGATCGTTGAAGAACACTTGGATCGTGGCACGAAGCTTGGATGAGTCGAGGCATTTGACCTTGACGCGGACCTCCTCGTCCTTGCGGAGGGACAACTCGTCCACCACCACCACCTTACCGAGGATGCTGGACATGCTCCGAATAACCCGCTCCGATCGAGCGATGTCGGGCAGGCCACCGATGAGGATCCAAGCCGTGTCCAAAACAGCCACCGCCAGGGGGTCCCGCACCGGCACAGAGATGTCCACCACAAGGCTATGGAGAGCTAGAGTGATGTCTCTGCTGCGGGTGTCGTAGTCATGGCTGACAGCGTCGGGGAACACGACCGAGAATTGGCCTCCAGGTAGCATGGTGACCTGCCAATCCCAGGAGCAGTGGTAGAGATGGTTGAGCTCGGCCTCTAACATCTCCGGCAAAGCGACCCCATCTTACACGGTGACAATCGCCAGGAGCGATGGTGAGGGGGAGGGGATGTCAGGCACCTCGAAGTGGAAGAAGACGAGGCCCTCAATCCCATGCCTGTACATCACCAACTCCTCCGGCACCGGGCGGTCGGGGCAGAGGATCACTGGGTGGTCAGGATCCGAGCAGAGGTAGCAGCCCAGGGGACGAGTACATGCCAGCTGGGAGTGGCCGGAGAGGCCGCAGTTGAAGCACTTGACGAGGTCAGAGATGCAATCATCAGGGAGAAGCGCGGTCGTGGTGGATGTCGCTGGGTCACGAGTGGAGCCAATGGCCAGGGCCGCGGCATTTGAATGCCCCAAGCCCTGCTTCTTCTTGCGCTTGCCAC